AGATTTAAATCACTTATGCTGTTGAATGCTATTGTTTTGTGAATTGCTATAAATAGAGACTGAAATTCATGTTTAATTAGCTGTCGTTTGGTTTGACTTCAATTAAAATGAAAAATTCAGTCATTTTATTGAGTTTTCTCGTTGAGAGTCTGTTATGTATAGCAGTACTGACGGCACCGACCGGTGATATAACAGCTGCTGACCTGAAGGTTGAATACCTTAGCAATCCATTAGCCGTAGACATACCTCAGCCCCGACTCCAATGGACTCTTCAGGCGACTGATCCCACAAAAAAAGATTTGTCTCAAAAGGCGTACCAAATACTTGTGGCAACAGATCGCGAAAGTCTGGACAAAAACATCGGTAACCTATGGGACAGTAAGAAAGTGGTAAGCGATAGGACCACTCATATTAAATACGGCGGAACTCCGTTAAAGTCTGGACAAAGAGCCTATTGGAAGGTGAATGTGTGGGACCAGAATGACCAGGTACAATTAGGCACGGGTGAACCCGTCAACTATTGGGATAAAGGACTGGACATTAATGACTGGACCGCCCAATGGGTTGGTGCCCCGAAAGGCACTCAACAAAAGGCGTTACAAAACATATCAGATATCGACTCAAAAGTAAGTGTTTTTTAATGAAACAAATGTTAGTTTTTAGTAAAAACAACTTTATCAACAGCTGGTCAAATCTAAACCCGGTTTAGTCCCTGTCCTATATTTGAGGAAAAGTTTTAGCACCGAGGCGAAAGTAAAATGTCGTTTTTAGATACGCTGGCGTGTCCCTCAGATATTTTATAACTAGTTATTGAACCGACAGTCACTGAGCGTTTACTCAGGGCCAACCTGACTGATATTATTCTGTTAGGTTATGGTCCCGATGCTTGTAACAGGGTCATTGCAGACTAAGAATGCTATAGGCGTACTGTTAGGAACAGGGTGGTTTAGCAGTTATGTCGGATTTTCCGGTCAATACAATATTTTTGGTTGGGATCAGAATGTGTTGTTTGAATTGCATATACAATACGAGAACAATAAGACAGAAATTGTTAAGTCAGACAACACGTGGAAAGTGAGCACCGGATCCCTTATATACTCCGACCTATTGATGGGAGAGTTGTATTATGAGAACCGGGAGGTGAAAGGCTGGGCATCGCCAGAGTTTGATGACAGCCACTGGCCATCAGTGGTAACCAAATCTATCGACAAAAAGGTGGCCCTAGTGGCCGATCGGGCCGAACCGGTTCGGGTGACTCACGAGTTATCGCCAAAGACTAAATACCAGAGCAAACCAGGGGTTTGGGTGTTTGACTTCGAGCAGAATATGGTCGGTTGGGTTAGGATCTCATTCCCCAAGACATACGATGCGAGTCGAGTGCAGTTAAGACACGCGGAGGTACTGAATCCCGACGGATCCATATATACAAAGAATTTGAGGTCCGCTTTGGCCACCGATACCTATGTGTTGAACAGTAAGGCATCAGATATACAATAACCAAGGTGTAATTGAAATACAATAACTATAAACCCGTTGTCTATTCATATCAGAGGCCGACAACTCCTATGAGATCTCATTCCTCGGGGTGAAGTGCTGGGTACCCAAGTCTATGCACCTCTAGTGCCCTATGGGCCCACTTGGTGTTGACTGATGGTATTTCCCTTATCAGTACTTAAGCCTGTGTGGAAAGCTGAGCGTAAAGCTCTCATCCAACCCAATGGTCAATAAGTTGTTCTCAAACATCAATTGGGGTCAAAGGGGAAACTTTCTGTCCGTTCCCACCGACTGTCCGCAACGGGACGAGCGGTTGGGATGGATGGGCGACGCGGAGATCTTCGCCCCCACCGCCAGTTATAACGCAAAAGTGGCCGCATTTTACACCAAATTTATGCGCGACGTAAGGGACGGGCAGTCCAAAGACGGCGGCTATTCTGACGTATCGCCCCGAGTGGTAGACCCGGCTGATGGTGCGCCCGCTTGGGGTGACGCCGGTGTCATAATTCCCTACACTGTGTACCGCATGTATGGAGACATTCAGATGATTGAAGACAATTATGAAGCCATGAAACGATGGATGGATTACATCGGAACCCAAAACCCGTCCTATATATGGACCAAACGAGTGAACAATAATTTCGGTGATTCCGACGTTCACTTGCGGCTGTGTGGGTTTCTCCAGTACTTATGGCCCATAATGCCGATGCTGCGGGAGGAATACAGGTTTTACCGCTTTCGTTAGTTAGGTACGGAAGATTACAAGAAATACAGTGAATTGCATACAAATATCGCCAACGCTTTCGTCAAAGCCTTCGTCAACACGACTGACGGTAAGATCAAAGGCGACACTCAGACCGGGTATGTCATCGCCATTGCCTTCGAGATGTTGCCTCAAAACCTGATACCATTGGCGGCCAACCATTTGGTCGACAATATTAAGGCCCACGACTGGCATCTCACCACTGGATTCATTGGTCAGTATTTTGAATCTTTATATAATTAATGAAATTAATTTTTTGGTAATTTATGTGTCAGGTGTGGGCTACTTGTGTCCAACACTGAGCCAATTGGGTCACACGGATGTGGCCTACCGTTTGCTACTGCAGGACACGTACCCCTCGTGGGGATATAGTATTAAATACAACGCGACGACTATATGGGAGCGTTGGGACGGATGGACCAAAGAGAAGGGATTTCAGGATCCGGGTATGAATTCATTCAATCACTACTCCTTGGGATCAGTCGGTCGATGGCTCTTCCAATCGGTGGCCGGTATTGACACCAATAACGAAGAGGTGGGCTTCAAGAGTATCGTAATCGCACCCAAACCTGGCGGTAATCTCCAGAAAATGACGGCCCGGTATCCATCTATTAATGGGTTGATAGGAACCAGTTGGGAGACTAACGGCGCTAATATTACTTTAACAGTAATTTTTGTTATTTAAACATATTTTCATTAATTAAGTCATTAATTATTATTTTGAATAATAGGTCGACATTCCGGTCAATACGAAAGCATTGATTGATTTAACATTTTTGAAGAAACCCGTCCACACCAATGACCCGAGGCCATCCATACAGATAGTCCCTCTCAACCGAGTTGGTAAGTGAGTTTATAACCTAAGTATAACTTTAACATATTTGAAAACGACTTTAACATAAAATTATTCACTAATCTATAAACTTTTAAAACTCATATATTACCGTAATTTGCAATTTAAAGATTTGACTGTAATATTAAATTAATAAATATTTGATAAAAATCAAACTAAAATTTTTATTACTTTATTTAAAGTTAAATAAACTAGTTAAATAGTTTAACCGAGACAAATGCTGACACCAGCTTTGTAATGGTAATTTAGTGTAACTTAATGTTTAAGTTGATATTAATTGATATTATTTAGTAAACTTTAAATGATTATATAATTTATGAATGTTTATACCGGTCATGTTTAACATTTTTATCGCAAACCGGATTATAGATGTAAAAGTAGTGCAAAAATAATACTGTATTAATAAATATTGTAAATTGAATTAATATTTTGAGAATCGATTAGTTCAGCGGATATTGAATGTTGTGTTTATTTTGATATCATTTCCGCACAAACTTTCATATCTTACTTGTATTTCTCATTTACATTACTACTTGTATAATGAATTTTTTGAAACTTTTTTACAATGACTTTGTATTAAATGATTATAATATTTGTGCTGTACTATATTTAATAAGCTAGATATTTTCAGTCAAATAATGATTGTCATTCTGTAAGTGAAACTCAATTTTTATATTCATTAGATAAATGATTTAAGAAATTTAGTGCAAATATTTATATCGAGTTTACATTCATCTCATGATTTCTTTATATAAGACTTCAAATCTAATCAATAATTTGTGTATAATATATTACAAATCAATTATAATTTGTTTTATTGAGTATTCATTGCAGAAATTCTGGTGACATGTATGGATAAAGTTATTTAAACTAAAACTTTTAAAATAAAAATCTACCAAAATTGCGTGTAAATGGTTGGTAACTTAAAGTAGTTTATTAGATATTAAATTATCAATAGTAAGTTTTAACTTGTATTAATCAACATAAAATTATTATAAAACTTTTCCAAAAACAACCTTGTAAACAAATGGTATTAATAATTTATATCTCACAATACAAGCTATAGGATAAAATAGTGCCTGGGTACTTTAATTAAAACACTGCCTACTTTGTGCCTTTAATCAAGATCTCATATACTTTGATCTCATTGTGTACTAAATATCGTAAGCGAAAAGTTTGTGTGTTTTTAAAATTAATTTCAAGTTTAAAGAAAATTAAATATAAAAATTTGATTAAAAACAAAATATTAGGAGATATCTCAAAGTTTTCAATTTTCTTATAGTTTTATTACTGCTAAACAAGTATAAATAGTTTGTGAAAATCACTGCCAATAGATAGCAACAAATATACAGTGAATTTGAAACTAAACTAGTTTTGTGAGTGTTTAGGTAACCGTGTTTACAGCACCTGTATTCATAGCAGTAGACATTTACCTGTGCTTTTCAGGTCAATACACGTGAAAACTTTATTGAAGTCAAGTGTAAAATTACAATTTTTAAACACATTTCGTACGTAAAAAATCTGCTAAAAATCACTGATAAGACTATCAATGAGTATTTGACATAAGTTTCGACAAAACCATATCTAATACTCAGTGAATGTATAAGAAATATATAACTATTTCTCATTTGTTATGAAAATAATTTCTAAAAATCTAATCATCGCTATAGAGATGAACACACTTTTTCATAAATAATATGAAAAAACTTGGTTTTTGTTTTACTTTTCTCACTGTATATATTAATGGTGTGTGTGTTTAATATTAAATTAATATATACTGTAATTAATGTGTTTTAATAGATGATTATTAATATACGAGTGTCTGTGCTGTCGATCAAGTTGTCTGCGATTTGAACAGCGATTCAATGAATGAATAAATTATTTGATTTTTGTATACAGAGAGCGTCAGTCTGTAAGTTAGCATATGAGTTATGATGTCGTTGTCCATTAATTACCACTAAAGTCCGATAACAAAGAGTCACTTTATCAAAACAATATATTTATAACTGTAAAATTTTTATTAATGGTTTTTTTGTACATAGATCTTGAATTGATAATTGTACGCAAAAACAACATAAAAGCGATTATAAAGTTATGTTCAATAGTGAGCGCATAACTAAAAAGTCTAGCTATGATTGCGATCACTTCATTGGTAGGGCCTATTGCAGGTAATTATAACATTTCATTTAAGCAATGACATTTTTTATACACATTTGTACATTTAAAATATATTTTAAATTTATTTGTGTTAATAGCCTTGGCTTTCAAATTTTTCACTCAGAACTAGTTTTCCATTAGTTTTAATGACTTTTTGCATGTTTTCAATAGTTAGCGCTTAGTTTAAAAACAGATTTTAACTTTCTTGAAAATTATGTTCATTGCTATTGTCTAACGGTTTGATTGTATTTTGTTGGGAACCCCCGGCTGTATGTCTACGGGGACTGGCATTCATAGATGGGTTTTACCATTTTATCGGTTGTGTTGGAGCGACAAAAAAGTGCAAATTGAAGACCTCTTGAAGTGTTCGGCCGAAGACGAGGCCGATGTAGTGGTCGCTCAGCTGGAAAGGTGTGCCACACATCTGTCACCAGTATCTGATCATTGACTTTACAAATGCTAAATATTTCTATATTTTCTCATTCATAAGGAATTGGGATTTACAGCTAAAACAAGAGAAACCAAACTTTTATACAGCGTTTCGACAAACATTTGCATCCAATCTCATCATACCTTTCGTTTTCTTTGCATTAGAAGTAATGATTATATTTTTAATTATTGTTTTATATATTAATGTAAAATATTTATTTAATAGGATTGTGTGACCCGGACAGTACAACCAATACTTTTGGGAATTATTGTCAGATATTTCTCGACCACTAATAGTGATAATGACGCCAATTTGTGGCCAATTAGTATGACAGCCGGTGCTATATGTTTGACAATATTATCCATAAAATTAAGGGTTGTGGGCCGGATAATGCGGTCGTTATCCGATAGTTACGCCCGATTTCAACGGACCTTATGTTAGTAAATATTTTTCCAATATTTTTATTTTAGTTCAAAAATACATAATTATGTAATACGGAGTATTTGTTAAATAGTGTCTCAGATTGAGTCGTTCATCACTGGCCGACACAACTGTCGGACATATCATTAATTTGACGACTAATGACACCAAACGCTTTGACGAGGTATTAGTGGTTTTGAAAATTAAAACTATTACTAGTAATTAAAAAGTAATTTTTGTAATTATTTGTCATTCAGTTTGCAATAGTCAGTACTTATCTACTAATAGTACCGATTCAGACAATCATATTCCTATGCATTGCGTGGAGATATTTAGGTGCCTCCTGTTTGGCCACATTTGCCGGCCTTTTACTATTACTACCCCTCATGTCATGGGTTGGCACTAAAATCACAAAAATTAGGTATGATTTTGTTTAGACTCAAATATTTTTACAAAAAGTGTTTAATTTAGTTTAAATTACAAATACAAACAGATCTAAAACAACAAAAGAGTGACTAATAGCGTAAACAAACTGTTTGCTATAATAAGCGCCGTAAGCACACTAATTTTACATACCAACCCTTGTCATAAAAGTCGCATAGTACGTACTCCGCGCGGCCATACAGTCGGTTATAGTCATTTTATGTCAAAAATTAAATTTTAAAAAATTACAGCAAAGAAGTGGAGGAAATCCGGACGGCGTCGACACTATTCTCGATGACTTTTTCGGTGTCGTTCATATCGGCCCGTCTACTACTGTTCCTCTCGATCATCACATTCGTGTTGACCGGTGGGCACCTGAACGCCGAGATAGTGTTCGTGACAATAGCTGTGTTTGAACGGCTCCGGTACTCAATGACATGGATGTTGCCTCAGGCGGTGTCAGGTCTCGCAGAAATACTCGTCTCCTGTAAACGACTGCAAAGTTTTCTATTACTCGACGAAATCAAACCCATTGTGAGACCAATGGATAGTAAAATTGATGGGAAAGGCGTGTTGTTGACTAAACTGTCCTCAAGTGTGAAGTCGACGGACACTAAATGCAAGAATAAGTTGAAATTCTTGTTGAAGAATATTAGCTGTGATGTGAAATGCGGTGAAATTCTAGCCATTGTCGGACCGGTAGGCTCTGGAAAGGTATGTTTGCTCCCTATTAGCGTGAAATTGATTATTGAAAATACTTTCCTATTTTCTAAGAGCTCTATATTTTCTGCAATAATGGGTGAATTGGATGACGTGAGCGCCGACAGTCTCGATGTGAACGGTTCGGTGGCATATGTGAGCCAAAAGTCGTTTTGTTTTAACGGAACGATTAGAGAGAATATATTGTTTGGAAAGCCATTCGACCAGAAGTTATACAACAAAATACTCTTCATGTGTGCCCTGGAAGAGGATCTCAAGAACCTGAGCGCAGGCGACCAGACACTCGTCGGCGAGAGGGGAACCACATTGAGTGGCGGACAGAGGGCTAGAATCAACTTAGCAAGGTTATATATTACTGTACCAGTGTTTGAGTGTTTATTTAATTCTTGATATTCAATGACAGATCACTTTATCTCAACTCTGATATCTATCTATTGGACGACCCGTTGAGTGCTGTCGACGCCACAGTCGCCAAACATATCTTTGAAAAGTTTGTTTCAAATTATAAACTAATTTTTGTTTAATTATTAAATGTCCGTAAATTACTTGATTAGCTGTGTGTTAGACTACTTGAGCGACAAATGTGTGCTTTTAGTGACAAATCAAATGCAATTCCTGAAGAGGAGTACAAAGATATTGTATTTAACGGACGGCCGGTGTTTGGCATTCGGTTCGTTCACTGAACTACAGAATAGTGGCATTGATTTCATGGCTATACTTAAGGACCCAAATGAGAGCCAACACACCGATAGCGACAACTTTGACTCAAATGAAAGTTTCAAAACACCGGATAAGAGGACAAAATTAAATCAAATGAACACTAATCTAGTGGTGAAAGGCTTTAACATGGAAGACGATAATGAAAATGTGGGTGAAATCAGTTTGAAAGTGTATTTCGATTACTTTAAATCTGGTTCCGGTTGGCGTCTCGTTGGCTTTGCCTTACTGTCCACTATTTGCACACAATTTTTGTTTCACTCGACTGACTATTGGCTCACATTCTGGTAGATATTTGTCGGGAAAAGTATTAATGAATTGTATTAATTGCTTGATTTGATTGAAGGGATGACAATAAGAGCGAATCGAGTGGTGGCACTAATTGGAAGAATATACTGATATATTCACTCATGAGTTGTGGTCTATTCATATTCGCCACGTTGCGATCCATGACATTCTTCCGGATGTGTTTGCGTTCATCGCATTTCTGTCACAACTTAATCTTCGACCGACTTTTGCGCACATCTATGGCTGCGTTTGACTACATGCCTATCGGTTAGTCCAATAAAATGATATCTTATTATTAACGCATCTCTGAATTTGTTCATCGCATTTCTGTCACAACTTAATCTTCGACCGACTTTTGCGCACATCTATGGCTGCGTTTGACTACATGCCTATCGGTTAGTCCAATAAAATTATATCTTATTATTAACGCATCTCTGAATTATCGGCATATTTAGAGATATGATAATCGAGAAAATAGCAAAAATAAAATTATAATAAAATAATTGACTACTATTTTCTTCAAATACTTAAATTTTAGGCCAAATACTGAATCGATTCACTCGTGATATAGGAATACTTGATGACACACTTCCACAAAAACTATTTGAATTAAATCTGGTGAGTCTTGAAGGGACTGGTATTAGCAGTGGGAATACATGTCAACTCATTTTTGTACTATTTTGATAACAAACTGAGACTTAATTAAGATATTTATGTTGACTCTAAAGTCTACAGAATTTTTATTTTTGAATTAATTTTGCAAAATTCTTGGGAGACATGTAGATACTTAATAATTTATATTTTATTGACGTAAACTAATTAACATTTAACTTTTATTTCCCATTACTTCCCACGTCTGGCTGTCTGTCTACGTGTGTCACATCTCAGGCGTTGATACAATTGATGGGTTTATTACTGGTTGTCATAACCGCCAACTATTTATTCATAATCCCGGGCCTATTTATTTCCCATTACTTGCCACGTCTGGCTGTCTGTCTACGTGTGTCACATCTCAGGCGTTGATACAATTGATGGGTTTATTACTGGTTGTCATAACCGCCAACTATTTATTCATAATCCCGGGCCTATTGTTTGCCGCGGTTTTGTTGAAAGTGCGAAAACTATACGTCAAACCATCGCAAGTAATACAAAAGTTTGAGGCAAAGGGTAATTGGATTAAAGATCACTATTTATATCCACTTTAATCCCACAATCAATACAAGTAACCTTAATCTTACGAATAGCCCGGAGTCCCCTATACTCGCACATAAGCACCACAATGGAGGGGCTGACCACAATCCGGGCGTTTGGCGTACAGGAGCTGTTCCGGCGCCAGTACACGGCCTACCAGAACGACCACACGAGCACGTGGTTCCTGCAGATGAGTACCGCCCGATTCTTCAGCATTTGTCTCGATTACATGGGATTTGTTTACATCACGTTTGTCATCGCATTGCTTCTCACATACCGATCCGGTATTCAGTCATCAATTTGTTTCTAAAAAGTAGTTTAATATAATTTGCACGAAATTCTTGGACAGAATTGTCGGACTCGAGCGCAGGTGTGGTGTTCTCGTCGATCCTGGCGCTCATCAGTATCGCTCAGTGGGCTCTGAAACGGTCGGTCGATGTGGACATATGGATGACATCACTCTTACGGCTCAAACAGTTCACGCGTTTACCCGAAGAGCAGATCGAAATGGAGGACAACTGCGAGCAGAAGAGGAAGCGCTTCCAGATTCCCAAAGAGTGGCCCAAAAGTGGACAAATCGCTGTGAGAAACCTGCGGATGACTTACCCGAACACCAGTGAACTCATACTGAAGAACATAAGCCTTAAGATACTGAGCGGTCAGAAGATTGGTATCGTCGGCCGCACCGGCAGTGGTAAGACATCGCTGATAAACGCGTTGTTCCGGCTGATGGCCACGGATGGCAACATCACCATCGATGGCATCAACATTGCGAACATCGGTCTCAGAGATCTGCGAAAGAAGATCTCAATCATACCACAAGAGCCCACCGTATTCTGTGCGTCGATTCGCGCCAATTTGGATCCGTTTGAGGAGTTTTCCGATGAGGACGTGTGGACGGCGTTGGATGCGGTGAGGCTCAAGACTTTGGTCCAGTCGTTGCCTCACAAACTGCATTCAGTCATCTCGGAGGACACACTGACCCTGAGTGTGGGCCAAAAGCAACTGATCTGTCTCTGCAGAGCTATACTCAGGAAGAATCGCATATTAATCTTAGACGAGGCGACCGCTAATGTCGACCATAAGACCGATGCACTCATACAGACGGCCATTAAGACTAAATTCAGCGATTGTACGGTCATTACAGTCGCCCATAGGATCGAGACTATCATAGACTGCGATCGCATTCTGGTATGATTAATGTCGACCATAAGACCGATGCACTCATACAGACGGCCATTAAGACTAAATTCAGCGATTGTACGGTCATTACAGTCGCCCATAGGATCGAGACTATCATAGACTGCGATCGCATTCTGGTATGAATACGCTTATTATGCTTATGCTTGCTTACTTAATTATTATGTTTATGCTTGCTTAATTATTATGCTAATGGTTAGACAATTTTAGCACTGAATCTATCAATTAATTTGATTCTAATTGTTTAATTATCTCTTAAATTTGTGATTATAATTATTGCTTGCTTAATTTATTTTGGTTTATCATTAGGTTATTTGCTAATGGTTAGACAATTTTAGCACTCAATGTATCAATTAATTTGATTCTAATTGTTTAATTATCTCTTAAATTTGTGATTATAATTATTGCTTGCTTAATTGATTTTGGTTTATCATTAGGTTATGAAGGACGGGATGATTGTGGACGACAACAGCCCATACCTGCTTCTGGAGCGGGAGGACAGCTACTTCTCGCAGTTAGTCAAACAGACGGGTCGTCTGATGGCCAGTCGCCTCCAGGAATCGGCTCAACAGAGTTTCCTAAATAAGAAACAGTTACTCAATAGAAACACAATCTCTGATACAGTGTTAAGGCAACGAAATATAAATATCTGAAAATTGAATTCGTATTCATTTACCTCTTTATAGGCTTTAATATTCAATACTATTTATTATTATTTTAGCGATACATAAGTACTCTGTTTTTTGAGATTTTTTATATATGTGTATACAAGTGCCTAAAGAATATACACTTACATTAATGTATACTTTGCTACTCATTTGAAAAATCTCACAAAAAACTAGTATATTTTTCATCGGTTTTAATGCAAACTCATATAACCTTTCAAATGATATATCGGTTTGTATGCATTTGATTACAGAATAGTGTTTTTTATATGAAAAGTGTTTACTAGTCTTATATGAGAGAATAACTCAATATATTTATGAATACATTTGTTTAATTTAATGTTAGAAAATAAAAATGACATAGTTTAACCAATTATTCGTGTTATGTTATTTTACCGTTTTTAATAAATACAAATAAATGATTTTGTTTCATGTAATTTCACGAAAAATGTTTGCTATAATTTATTATCAAATTATATTTTTTGAATGATTTGACAAGCTATTATTTCAAAGCACTTGTGTGGTGACAATTTGCCTATAAAATTTTTAACCAAGTTAACTATTTATTAAGTGAAAAGTAAGTCAATAAAAGTGAATTTGTAAATCTAGAGTATGATGTGATAACTACAGTGATTGTACTTTACTCTATGAAATTGTACTTGTTAAGCTGTTTATACAGTAGTGTTATAAAGTCTCCAAGTTCCTGAACATAACTGATATTATAAAATAACATTGTATAACATTACATTTATTAATACTGTTATTAATAAATTGTATTTTATATTAAATTATATAATATTAGTTGTAATTAGTTATAAATATAATACTTTATTTGCATTTAGCATACAACTATTTATCTCAAATTGGTATTATTCCTGTAACAGTAAAAGTGGAATAGGATGTCATAGTTAGAGAGACATTGTGTATAACAAAAGCATTATTGTAATCAATAAACTGATAAGTATTTCCATTCAGGTTTAGATCACATTTAAAACTTTCCACAAATATTTCGTTCAACAGTTATCTCAGATTAATTGGTAACAGTTATCGCAGATTAATTGGTTTATAATGTACTAAAACTAGCTGAGATAGGTCATACAAAAACAGTTGTATGTAATAATTCACATACCATTTGATGATTGATTCAATTTGAATACTTTTTACTTAACATTATATATTTTGATGGACATTTTAATCAATATTAATTAAACAAAAGTTGTGTTAGACTCAACTAAAGTGTAGAAAAGTAGTTATTTGATTAGATAAGATATCTTGGACTCACTCAACAAACCCTGTTATTTTTATACAAATATAAATGACAACAAATTTAATTAAATTGTTTGTGAGAGTATAGGGAAGTTGAGTGATTTCTTAACTTTTCAACAAGTTCACAATTTTTATATGAAAGTCAAACAAATATGTTCATCAAAAGTATATTCTTGTTTACGTTTGTTTGCTATTTAAATACATTCATTGAATGTAAGTATTGATACTTTTTATAAATTGCAAACTAATTATGAAATTGATTTGTTCTGGTTAATTTACTTATGTTTTGGTGATCACTATTACAGGCAAACACCAGATATTAAAAGAGGGATCAATAATACATTTAAAGTTTTTCGACAACAGTCTCACACTTTTCAATGTCTCTGACGGCGAAAGGCAACTGGCATTCAAAGTGTCGGTTCACGACTTGGACCACAACCGCGTGTCCGATGAAAACGTACAGATTTTTGTGTTAAACCAAAACCAAAATCATTTCGTTCGTCAATCGCAATTTGGCCACTTATATGACCCAGATGAGTTTGTTTTAATCAGTATTAACATCACTAATGCCGCTAGAAATGTACTATATGGATATATCATATATGGGTGCAATGTCATTTATAATCATTTATTTCTATTCACTTTATTTGCAAATTCAGTTGTATTTGATTGAGTTCTTCGAGCAATTGTCTAACACTTCTGGCGATGAATGGAAATCAATTGCAATGAGCAGTGTATTGCCGTTTGGGAACACCACCACCGATGGTGTGGTCACCACTGCTATCATTGATAACAAAGACACTGTTATCGGAAGTATTAACGGTCTGTATATACGCCCAAAAACTAATGCATATTGAAGTAAACTTTTAAAAACTTTTTTCAGTCGATTATCTGGTGATCAGACCTATCCGTGGGTTTGATGCCGACGCTGATCACACGATTGAGATAAA